ACCCCCCCCCCCCCCCCAAATACCAATTAAAAAGGGGGAAAAAAATCATAGACTATTTAAATTCAAAATGGTTATTGAAACTATTTATAAAAATATATATTTTTAACCTTTAACTTTAAATAAAATTTGTAAGTGAGCCTTCATTACCCCCCCCCCCCCCCCCACACACACATTCAGGGTTATTGACATCAGTTCGCCGTCCACTGGGTGCCATAGAGATAGAACATTGATTCAAATAGAACACTGATCTACGTAGAACGTTGGTTCACATAGAGTTAGAACTGGTTCTATGTAGGTCTGGAACACATTGTCAAAATTGTTAAATTGGTCTGGAACACCTATTCACAATTTTTATGCAGGTCCGGAACACTACCAGGGACCACAAAACATAACAGCCATCTAAAGCACATACCAGGGATCACAAAACATAACATCCATCTAAAGCACATACCAGGGACCACAAAACATAACAGCCATCTAAAGCACATACCAGGGACCACAAAACATAACATCCATCTAAAGCACAAACCATTTTATTACCAGGGACCACAACACATAACAGCCATCTAAAGCACATACCAGGGACCACAAAACATTACATCCATCTAAAGGACAAACCATTTTTATTACCAGGGACCACAAAACATTACATCCATCTAAAGCACACACCAGGGACCACAAAACATAACATCCATCTAAAGCACAAACCATTTTATTACCAGGGACCACAAAACATAACAGCCATCTAAAGCACATACCAGGGACCACAAAACATAACATCCATCTAAAGGACAAACCATTTTTATTACCAGGGACCACAAAACATTACATCCATCTAAAGCACACACCAGGGACCACAAAACATAACATCCATCTAAAGCACAAACCATTTTTATTATCAGGGACCACAAAACATAACAGCCATCTAAAGCACATACCAGGGACCACAAAACATAACATCCATCTAAAGCACAAACCATTTTTATTATCAGGGACCACAACACATAACAGCAATCTAAAGCACATACCAGGGACCACAAAACATAACATCCATCTAAAGCACAAACCATTTTTATTACCAGGGACCACAAAACATAACAGCCCAAGCTCAATTCAGAGAAAGCCTTTTTAATGACATCAAATTTCTTCATGTACAATTTTCTTTTCTTGTGTTGTATTTGTCAAGAATAACTTTTTATTCAAGTCCAATGGTAAAAAAAATATATACATTCTATCATCCACGCTAAAAAAAAATACAGTGATCCCTAGTCTATCGCGCGATCACTTTTTTGCGGTCTCACTGTATTGCAGATTTTTTTTACTAGCATATATACAATTTTGTATTATGGATTTTTCGCTATATTGTGGGATTTTGTGTATAAATTATAGAGTTTTATATGCTGTTAAAATCTTATAGGTTTAAGAGTGTAGAAAGTGTTTATAAGCATAGAAAGGGTTTAAAAGAGTGTGGGGAAGTGTTTATAAGAGTGTGGGAAGGGTTTAAAAGAGTGTGGGGAAGAGTTTGTAATAATGTGGGAATGGTTTATACAGACTTAAAATATATATATATATATATATATAAATATAAAATTAATTATAAGTTCACTACTTCATGGATTTTTGCCTATCGTGCGGGGGCTGATGGGGGCAAGTATTGATTTCTGAAAGCAAACCCCCCACGATAGACGAGGGATCACTGTACATCTAAACTTGAAAGGGGATTTTAAACAGGAGCTGGAGTCAATGTGTGAAACTCTTGCATTTTAACATATCATTTACTACGTCATGGAACATTATCACAAATTTTAACATTAAAGAAAGAAAAAAAAAAAAAAAGTTTATTTACATTTAGTTAGTCTAGTTATTAATGGTAAATTTATAACAAAAAAAAACCCCAACAAAAACAAAAACAAATGAAAAAAGGGGAATTTAAACAGGAGCTGGAGTCAATGTTTGAAACTCTTGCATTTTAACATATCATTTACTACGGCATGGAACATTATCACAAATTTTAACATTAAAGAAAGAAAAAAAAAAAAAAAGTTTATTTACATTTAGTTAGTCTAGTTATTAATGGTAAATTTATGACCAAAAAAAACCCCAACAAAAACAACAACAAATGAAATATGGTTATTGTATCAGATCTATTTATAGATAGGGACGGAACGTGCACAGTTGAGTACAGGTAGATAACACAGCCACAAAAACTGCAGCGGATAAATAAAAAATGTACATTGGTTTTGTGCTGTGTTAGTAAAGAGTTTAAAATTATGTTAAAAAATCTTGCGTCTCGTTAAGTCGCCATCAAGCAATTTGCATAATGCCTTCCAAGCGGCAGACAGCACGCTGAGCTTCTGACAAGTTGGCGAGCGAGGAGTTTGAGTTAAGAAAATGAAGATGCATGACCATTATGCTTCCCTCCCTCCGGCGTTGGTTTTGTCAATTTACCAAAAAAAAGAATTTTTGTTTCCTTCCAAGTTTAGCCATTGGAGACGCATCATCAGATACGTAAATATTGAAATGTGCAAGTCACTTATCCAGTGTTTGAGTATTTCCAATCACTTGTCACTAATCCTTTTCGGTTTGTTTTTTTGGCAGATGGATATAAATAGACTTGTGTCTGGCGAGATCAGAATACCCCTGCGTCCTACAGTAGTTGCAATGATAGCAGTAGGTTTTTTTGTACATCTCCTCTTGCAGACTAACTTTCCCCCCATGCGTATTCATTGCCTGGAAAGGGAGCTGATCCGCATTTTCAACCTCTTGCTGTCTCAAGGTCAAGGTCACTCGGCACCATATAATCCTCCAACTCTTTTTGTCGCTGCATCAATGTCTGAGGATAAAAAAAAGTGCAAAGGTCAAATAACTAAAAAGCCACAGTGTATATATTTACAAAATAACAAAAATTTGTAAGACTTGTATGAGTCGTTGTCAGTTCAAGCTTGATGTTGCGGTCTTTTTTCTTGGAATTATCAAGGGGAGTCTAAAGCCTTTGAAAAAAATGTATTGAAATAGATTTAATTGTATTAAATTGATACAAAATATATCATGATAATAAAAATTGGTACGAAATGCATCATGATAAGTGAGCGCGAAAGATATGATTACCTTCTTCAAGGAAGACAACTGCTGTAAGATCATCTCCTGACGAGCAGATGGGTGGTCAGTGACAAGACCTGGGTTGATCAGAGGATTCTGAAAAATAAAGTATAAACTGAAACACCTTTCAGCTGAGACACCGTTCAGCTGAGACACCTTTCAGTGCTAAACAAGTTTTAAAATATATATTTTTTTTTCAATTCAAATATAAGGAAGGGAAAAAAAAAGGCTTAAAGTCTTAAATAAAGAAATACAAACTGTGCATTTTTTGGGGTATATTTTGAGAAGTTTTATCTGTTCTTATGATCGATTTTTTATAAATTTCATTGATACATGATCCCACTTTTTTTCCCCTCAGTACAGTTTTATTTATGTGCTGTAGCCTGGTTCCCGTTAGAGTGTGTGTACTTGTTGCACTATTTAAAAAAACAAAACACCATTATTTACAAAATTACCAAATCTAAATGATCACTAATTAAGTCATTATTGTGAGTAAAGGAGTTCATTTAAGGCTGATTTCTACACTAGGGAAATACTTGAGATGTCTTGTGTTTAAATTGTTAAAACTATAAAATGTTGTGTTGGTTAAAAATATGTATTCATTTATGTGCTGAAAACGAATATGTACAGTGTAATCAAAAAATATTTCCATTTATTTGGATTAATAAAGAATCTTATCTCATCTTATTAGTATCAGCATCCTGTTTTTAATAGTACACTATCTGATTATCTTATTAGTATCAGCACCCAGTGTTTAATATTATAATATCTGATTAATAAAGAATCTTATCTTATCTTTTTTTATCTTATTAGTATCAGCATCCAGTGTTTAATATTACACCATCTGTGTGTCTCCTGTTAAATTAAATGTTCAGAACTTAATTTTATCAGGACTAATAAATGCACACAACAGATGTTTTACGTATACAATTTGTGCCTGAAATATACGTGCTTTGAACTAAATCCAAGTCATAAAGTCATCAATTTACTTGATCAAATTAACAAGGAATTTGAATCACCTTCAGGCGAGCCTCCCGTTCTCTGTCCTGGTAAACATCTAGCTTTTTCCCTTTGTTGGCAGGGTGGAGGCCCTCGTAATGAGCCTTCCTGGCCCTCTCCATGCGTGAGTTTTCTCTTGATATGGCCACAGGCTCGTTGGCCTTAGAAGGGTCGAGAATTTCAGTCGTCCTTAAAAACGGCACAAACTCATCCATTTCTAGGGCGGCGTCCCCGTACTTGGTGTTTGTCTGGCTGTTTCTAAGGAAACTGTTGGCATACGTGTATGGGTCTGCATCATTTGGGACTTGGGTTCGATGTTTCACTGACGGGATGGGAGGCGAGACAGAACGCGGTGAGCTTCTTTTCTCAGGCTTATCATTGAGCAGAGACAAAACATTTGGGGATGTGTCTCTGGTGCTGTCAACATGAGCCGCCTTCCCTGTTGGCAGTTTCTGTGGTGGGGCGGGCTTTCTGCCTCTTTCTCCTACTTGTTTCTGGGCCTCAGGCGACACGTCCCGTGGACTTCTGCCGGGGCTTTTTGACAAAGAGGGTATCCTCCCTTTGTTTAGCTCCTGCAGGTAAAGCAATTGTCTTTCTCTCTTCAGCCTCCTCGCCTCTGCTTCCTCTCTGTTCTGTGCATAGAATGGATCTTTCTCTGAATTTTTCACCACGGTTTTCCTCTTTCTCTGATTCCAGTCAGGTCTCTCGCCCGATTTCTCTTCCTTTGGTGGGGCCTTTTCAACCTTTTTTGGGGGTAATTTTTCTACCTTCTTTAGGGGAGCCTTTTCTACCTGCTTTTGTGGCGCCTTTTCTCCGGGTCTTTTAGGATTTGAACAACTTTCTTCAGCACTCTTCACATGGACTTTCCTGGGAGGTGGTTGTTTCTCCTTTTCCTTCAGAGCTTCCTGGACCCTCATTTTGTATTCAATCTGAACCTCATCAGGAAGATTCTGTAGGATGGCCTTCAAGTCCTTTAACTCCACTGAAATCAAAATTAATTTTATTTGGAATTACATGGGATAAAGATTAATTGAGAAGATTAATGGAGAATAATAAAAGAAGAAGGTAAAAACAAAAAAGGGCAGGATTGTTTAAAAAAAATTGCTAAGAAAGGCATGACGACAAAGAAAGGTATGACGACAAAGAAATGTATGACGACAAAGAAAGGTATGATGACAAAGAAATGTATGACGACAAAGAAAGGTATGACGACAAAGAAAGGTATGATGACCAAGAAAGGTATGATGACAAACTAAAGGTATGACGACAAAGAAAGGTATGACGACAAAGAAAGGTATGACGGCAAAGAAAGGTATGACAACAAAGAAAGGTTTGATGACAAAGAAAGGTATGATGACAAAGAAAGGTATGATGACAAAGCCACAGCACACAAAAATAATAATTTAGGTTGATTTGTTTTAGGTGATGTTACATTTGATCACACACATGACATTTAATATGGGCCAAAGACATCATGATGTCTTCATGCCAGCTTGTGATGTACAAGTCATCATGTCGTTTTTGCCAACATGAGATGTCTAAGACGCCGTATCTTAATGTCAACATGAGATGTCCAAAACACCCTGAGCTGATAAGAAAAGGGCCAAGCAGACTTACATGTCTGTGTCCCAAACTCCCTCCTCGGTGAGTCGGGAAGATCCCTCGGACGGCTGGGATTTCTAAACCTGCTGGGGGTCAGGACACGGTCCTCAACATAAGGCTCATTACTGTACATCTGTTGTCCATGGTGGCGCTCCGAGTGGTCAGCTCTCTCTGTCTGTGTGTGCGGGGATGGGCTTGGCTGGTCCTGCCTTCGTGATGTGTGATTGGGCAGTGAGTCATGGCCTAGGCCAGGTATTGAGGTCATTTCAAACTCTTTTTTTCTAGGTGAGGCGGCTAATGGGAAATAGGATAATCAAACTCCCAGTGACAACAAGCAAAACAAGTTCTGTTTAAGACAAAGCAGGACAAGTTCTGTTAAAGACAAAGCAATACAAGTTCTGATTAAGACAAGCAGGACAAGTTATGTTTAATACAAAGCAACTTTAAAGTTATTCAATTTACCTTTAAGACTATTGACAGACAAAACCATTTTTTAATGTTTAACTTAGTAATCCTGGTTTGATTAAGTTGATGCAAACGATTATTAAATAAACCTTTGATGAAGAATGTTTGCATGAGTCTGAATGTTTACAATGCATCATTACTGGTCAATCACAATGAAAAATGTTTCAAAGCACTGGTTTTTTAAGCAATAAAATAGGAGCCAGAATGATTAATTCATTGATCGTGGGCCCTCAAAATAAAGAGGAAGAACTTGATGCTTAAAATCTCATTAAATAAAAATCTGTGATTTGATTGGAACAAACAGATCTTCCATTAAAAATTCAAATTTATTTTATTATTAAAAATTAAAATTAATTTAAAAAAAAAAATTAAACATGCAAATTAATTTTTTATTAAAAATTCAAATTAATTTTTTTATTACAAATTCAAATTAATTTTTTTTTTATTAAAGAAGGTTTGAGAATCTAAGGCCAAAATCAAATAACACAACTGAAATACAACCCAACATTGTTGTAACCTGTTTGCACTAAGCCTGAATGAAGCTTAGGAGGAGACCTGTGGCAGGGCAAGAGCCTGGTGCCTGACACCTGTTGTTGAGGTGGTGACTTATTGCACGGTTCAGGCAAGAGCTCCACCCCTGAGAAAGTTGAAACATCTTTCCTGTAGAGCCGACTAAATCTCAAAATTTCTTTTACCAAAATGTCCTTTGAGACTGGCCTTTCCGCATACAATTGAAATTTAATAATGTCCAAAATGATATTTTTTTAAAAGTGCATCTGGTCATTCAAATAAACATTCACGCTAAAACCAAATACTGAAGATGATGGCAACTTATCTTGAATAAATCTGCCTCGACACGCTTCTATGGTTACACAGCTACTGATCTACATTAAATTAACGGACATTTTAAAGACTTCAAAACTGAATCAGCTAACTGTTCTTTGTTGATAAAGACATCTTGCCAAATGTTCGTTATTTTGTTATGTTTTTTCTTTGTCCAAGGTTTGCCATACTTTGTTTGACTCATTTCCATTAAAGAATTCAATAAGAAATTCCTCTTCGCCTTAATAGCACGGCGGTAGAGTTTTTAAGAGAGACTATTCTGAAATATCGTCAACTGCTGGGAGGTAAGGAACAATTTCACAGCCAGCTTTCTCAGACTGATTGCACATGTAGATTTACATCCATGCGTTGTCTTCAGTTGGGACACGCAGGGTGCTGTATTCAGCCACCAGGCTAAAACCGGATGTAATACGTATTGCTTCTCACCTTATTCCCTTATTTTGCATATAAAACAGTAGCATGCTATCCTCAGACCATACCTTACAATGGCATATGCGACAGTATCTTACCACCAGACATGACTTACAATGGCATATGCGACAGTATCTTACCACCAGACCATGCCTTACAATGGCATACGCGACAGTACCTTACCTCCATAAGTGGCCTTCAGTTGTGACACATCGTGACCTAGTTGCTGCAAATGGTGAATGCGGCGGACATTTTTGTCCTCCTGGGCTTTCTCCTGGGCTTCATCCATGGCCGTCTTGATCACAGCCATCTGTTTCTGGCGCATCTCCTGGTTAAAAATGGTGAGCATGAGTGCTACGGCAAGGGTCTCATATCACGTGCAGTTAATATGTTTGTTCTAAAATTTGGATAGAGCACTGAGAAATGACACAGAAAACTATAATTTTTTTTAAAGAGATTGTAACATCATTTGTGCATCTGTTTTTGTGGTTTTCAATGAATCTCACAAATCTTTTTGTGCATCAGTTGAAACATGCAAATCTTACCTCTCTTTCCTTAAATCTTACCTCTCTTTCCTTAAATCTTACCTCTCTTTCCTTAAATCTTACCTCTCTTTCCTTAAATCTTACCTCTCTTTCCTTAAATCTTACCTCTCTTTCCTTAAATCTTGCCTCTCTTTCCTTAAATCTTGCCTCTCTTTCCTTAAATCTTACCTCTCTTTCCTTAAATCTTACCTCACTTTCCTTAAATCTTACCTCTCTTTCCTTAAATCTTACCTCTCTTTCCTTAAATCTTACCTCTCTTTCCTTAAATCTTACCTCTCTTTCCTTAAATCTTACCTCTCTTTCCTTAAATCTTACCTCTCTTTCCTTAAATCTTACCTCTCTTTCCTTAAATCTTACCTCTCTTTCCTTAAATCTTACCTCTCTTTCCTTAAATCTTACCTCTCTTTCCTTAAATCTTACCTCTCTTTCCTTAAATCTTACCTCTCTTTCCTTAAATCTTGCCTCTCTTTCCTTAAATCTTACCTCCCTTTCCTTAAATCTTAACTCTCTTTCCTTAAATCTTGCCTCTCTTTCCTTAAATCTTACCTCACTTTCCTTAAATCTTACCTCTCTTTCCTTAAATCTTACCTCTCTTTCCTTAAATCTTACCTCACTTTCCTTAAATCTTACCTCACTTTCCTTAAATCTTACCTCTCTTTCCTTAAATCTTACCTCTCTTTCCTTAAATCTTGCCTCTCTTTCCTTAAATCTTACCTCACTTTCCTTAAATCTTACCTCTTTCCTTAAATCTTACCTCTCTTTCCTTAAATCTTACCTCTCTTTCCTTAAATCTTACCTCTCTTTCCTTAAATCTTACCTCTCTTTCCTTAAATCTTGCCTCTCTTTCCTTAAATCTTACCTCTCTTTCCTTAAATCTTGCCTCTCTTTCCTTAAATCTTACCTCTCTTTCCCTAATCTTTCTATGTTCGTTTTCTGTTTGTTTGTTCAGGGAATCTCTCTCCAACTGCAGCTTTCTCTCCTCCTCAATGTCCTCTCGAATTTTCCTCTCCCTCTCCTCTCTCTTTTTCCTCTCCTTCTCCTCAATCTGTGCCTTGATTTCAGCCTGTGGGAATATTTATGAAGATGTTATTCCAACTAATGTAACAGATTCCATCAAACCACCAGTTCTTAAATAAATTACAGAAACCGTTTCACACATTTAAAAAGACAAAGTATTACACAAAATGTTTGTAAAATTCTTCTTGAACCTGGTGTTCCATCTGCGCCTTCCTTTTCTGCTCTTGTTCCATTTTGGTCACAGGATCAATGAAGGCCCCTTGCCCACGTAGAAATGTAGGGCTGTGAAAGAGCAATAGTAGTCAAGTTCATTAAAAAGAGTTGCTTACAGGCATCAAACATCACTCATTATAAGGTTTTCCCATACTTTGTTTTGCTAATTTCCATTTTTCTTGCACTTGGATGGTCCCAGTACACTTGCACTTGGATGGTCCCAGTACACTTGCACTTGGATGGTCCCAGTACACTTGCACTTGGATGGTCCCAGTACACTTGCACTTGGATGGTCCCAGTACACTTGCACTTGGATGGTCCCAGTAACTCAAACTGCTTTTGTCCTGTATAGTTTGTTTTGTTTTTTTAAAATCTGTGTTCCCTCTTCCTCAATAAAAGCTGCTTCACTTTGCCAAGTCATTTACAGCGGACTATTTAGCTGTAGGTGGGGGACCGCATCAGACAAACTGGAACACACCCCCCCCCATCTCTTCCCCAAGCTGCCTCTTTGTCATAAGGCAGGCATACACACGTGTCATAAGCCAGTCATACACACATGTCATAAGGCAGGCATACACACGTGTCATGAGGCTGGCATATACACTTGTCATAATGCAGACAACCCTACGTGCCACACTTTATCGTTCAATGATAACAAACGGAAATGATAAATGGATACAAATGTTAAAGAAATCAAATATTTACGGTTCATCTTGAGGTTTTCCTAATGCTGGCAGAGTCGTGGTGGGGGCGCTGTTGGTACGATGGGCCTCAGAGGTTTCCTGTGAACGAGGTGACCCTTGTTGATTTTGTAGCCTCTCGTTGACTGGGCGGAGTTTTTTGTGATCTGAAGGATACGGATCAGCCCAGACTCCTCCTGTCTGAGAATTATCATGTACAGGATGGAGCTTTTTGTAGTCTGAAGGATACGGATCTGCCCAGACTCCTCCGGTCTGAGAATTATCATGTACAGGATGGAGCTTTTTGTAGTCTGAAGGATACGGATCTGCCCAGATTCCTCCGGTCTGAGAATTCTGAGAATTATCATGCATGGGATGCAGCTTCTTGTAGTCTGAGGGATAGTGGTCTGCCCATGCTCCATCCTCCTGTTTGTCTCTCTCTTTTTGTGCCAGCTTGGCCAGGCGCTGTTCTTCTCTCTGCATCTCTGACCAAACAGTCAAAAATGTTTCAAAATCAGTCAAATTCACCTTTTTCCGTCAACGTTTTTTTATGAATCTTATTATTCACAGAGATTGTAAAACAGAGTGAATAAATATTTAAAAAAAACTACACATTCTCAGTGACACCACATTATCTCTAGCTATGATCACAATAAAAAAACAACAAGTATACTTAGCGTAGAGGAGAGCATTGATTCAACAACATATAGTAAATATATACGTGAGATACGAGACAGGAAACTAAAGCACAGCTGTATCACCTACCCAGTTCTTGCAGCCATTTCCTCTTTTCTTCAGCCTTGGTGTTGTCATAACGCTTATCATTCAAGGTACCAGCCTGTGAACAAAAATATATTGGCTTGGAACAGTCCTTTTAAACAGTTCTAACGTTGGCTAAGTTTAATGTCTCACTTTTTAGGTATACACACCAACTATAAAGGCGCTTGTGTACATACCCAAAATATCATTGAGATTGTGTACATACCCCACGATCATGGAGTATGTGGACATACAACTATCATGGAGCATGCATACGTACATACCCTAACTTTATGAAACTTGTGCAGACCTGTTTACCCCCAAACTCTTAAAATCATACAATATCATCACAAAATCGTTCAATACGTTATCTTAATAGTAAAAAATAAACATACAGTATATATAATGTATACACCTCAAAATCGTACACTGTATGCCAAAATCGTAAGTGTAAACAGGTCTGTTTGTGTACATACCCCAACTACCATGGAGATTATGTACATACAACTATCATGGAGCATGCATACATACCCCAACTATCATCAATATTGTGTACATACCCCAACTACCATGGAGCTCCTCATAGCTGCTGGAGGTGCATAGGTTTCAGGTGAAGCATTGGATACTTGACCTTGAACTGAACCTTGATCTCTTGGCCTTTGGATGGGTCTGTGAGGAAGTAGGTGTGGGGGTGTTCATATGGTACAAGTTTGTGGAAAAATTGTTTCACTAAAATAGTTTTAAGAATCAAAACTTATTTCTATTTAAAAGAGTGCCAATTTTTTTCCTTGCACCACATACTGATTAACACATAGGACATAAAGGAACCCAATTCCAAGATGAGAAAGGGGTCCCAGACGAGATCGGACACGACATGTTCTGAAAAGAACTCACTGTGGCTGCCTTGGTGATATCTGCTCCAAAGTTTTATGGTACACAAATCTGTCAGCCCACTGATCGTGTAAACCTGTCTTATCTTTTTCTTTCTCCAACTGTTTTTTCATTCTCTGTTCCTCTCTTTGCTTGTCTGGTGTGGAAAAAGAAAGGTGTAGGAAAACAAAGAATGTTACTACACTTTTTTTAAAAATGTACCACTGCATGCACAGCGTGCCTAATACGGCCAAAAACTACCTGATGGAAGATAAGCCCTTACCAAGTTCAGCCAACCACTTCTTCCGCTCAATTTCCTTTTTATTTAGCATCTCTCGTTGGTCTCGGCCCTGAAAATGGAAAACAAATTTAATGTGTCATGTTAACGGTTACAAAAAGTACATCAATGCCAAAGTCATATGAAAGATACCCAATCACAGGACTTGGCAGTAAACGAGAGTCTCACCTAAAGAGGGGGTCTACAAAACTTTTTGTATTAAATCATCAGTGTTATTTACATAAATGTAATTTTTTTTTTTGTTGTCTTTTAAAGGTGTAAAGGATATCACAGCTAAGCTACTAAAAATTATTTCCAGTTAGGCCACAACTGGCGTTTTTTAAATTGGAACACAAAATAAAAAATAATAATTTATGTAGGCGTAAGAATATGCAAGACAAAAATTTTTTTTTTAATTAAGAAATCTTTCAATAAACTGCATAATTTAAATGTTCTATAAGTACTATTTTGATTATGGATGATGAAACAACAAAAGTGTTAGTATGGGGGAGATATTTAAAATAAAGAAATTTATGTTTTTAATTAACATCAAGTCTTATTTGAAGATGGCTACAATAAACATGTACAGTTTAAATTTCAGAGACGTGGCCCAAAAGTAAAAAAAAAAAAAAAGAAGATTTTTAACAAACAGGCCAATAAAACAACAAAAGTGTTAGTATGGGGGAAATATTTAAAATAAAGAAATTTATGTTTTTAATTAACATCAAGTCTTATTTGAAGATGGCTACAATAAACATGTACAGTTTAAATTTCAGAGACGTGGCCCAAAAGTAAAAAAAAAAAAAGAAGATTTCTTGCGAACTGGCCATTTGTTCAGAAAGGCTGCAACCGCCTTGTTTCAACCATGTCATAAATTAGATATGGTTAAGCAATGTCAAATAAGCTTACAATGCAGGGACAAATTTATACAAATAGATCACCACAACTTAGAGTTGGTTTCTTGTTATAATAATGGAGACAATAAAGAGAAACGATCTTATATATTAGTATATGCTAAAGAAACAATTATATATATTGATATATGCTAAAGAAACAATTTTATATATTAGTATATGCTAGTAAAATAAGGATAACTTGGTAATGTGGTAGGAAATATTTATTTGTAAAGAGATAAAGTCTTATTGAAGAAAGTGTTGTCATTACTGATGTCTCAGTGCCTTTTCAATTCATTTCCTCTAAGTTACAGTCAGCATACAATTTTAAGGAGTTCAAATTTGTGTGTATGTGGGTAAACATGAACATTATTTTCACTCTGGGTATCGTTATTATCAAAGATTATCATATTTCTGTTCTTTCACAATCATATTAAAAAAAAATTGATTTCGTCTTAAGCAAGCCAACACCATCTTAAAAGTTTTATGTTCCTTAATTAAAAACTTAAAGACACTGTCGACCTAACACTTTCCTCTTAGAGTTTTCTAAATGGAGAGAGATCTATGTAAGTCACTAGTGGCAGCTAGCACAACCAACCACAATGATGCTAGTAGCTGGACCAGCATGACCTCCGGTGACGCTTTGAACATTTCGACTCTCCCTGGTCACATCAAGGTTGCCATCCGAAACCATTTTCCCTCGGCCTGGTTTAGGATCCTCTTCCTCATCACTGATTACCTCTCTTATTGTCTCATTTTCCTCCTTCATTTTCCTCCCTCCCATTTGTACCTTATCATCCCTGTCATCTCTACTTTTTCTTTCCTCCCTGGATTCCTCCTTGTCCTCAAATATTTTTTCTGTCTTAGTTTTCTGGATTTCTTTTCCGTGCACCACTTTATCTTTATGCTTCTCAACCAACTCCCTCAGGATTCTCTCCTCCTCTGCTTTCTTCCTCCTCTCAGCCTCCTGAATTTCCCTCTGAAGTTTTTCTATTTCTTTTGCAATTGCGTCCTGCTGGAGAAAGGGGATGGGGAAAAAAAAGTGCAAACAAACTGTAACAATAATTGACAACTCAAAACACACTGAAAACTCACCACTAAAAACAATGCAAACCAAACTGCAAGGTGCATGATCTGAAATAACTGAATGCTAAACCTGAATAGAAACAGCATGCCATTCAAAATAATCCACAGCAATATTAAGTGTAAGCAATTAAAAGTAACAATGCAGCAGGCAGAGCTAATGTGCTTTTAAACATGCCTTGATTTTTAAAAAAAAAATTGCATTATATTGATGAAAAGTAAGTTGAATGCTTGATGACAAAGATGAAAAAAAATATTTAACTAAAATCATGATGCAAGATGGTGCAAAAAAGTGTGAGACTCAGTTCCTTATGCTAGATGCACACCTTTGAAAGATGCAGTTTTTAAATAGTTACCAACAGAAGGATGCCTCTAATAGTGTAGAGAAAGTAAGAACATGCGACAAGGCAGGTTCATTTGTTTTAAAGCTGAATTAAAATGCTTTTTTTCCTTTTTTTTTCTTTGTTGGTCAAGTTAAACACAAAGAACATGCTTGCCTGTTTTTCTTTCCTCTCATCGACACCATCTTTTACTTGGGGTGCATTATGTTTGTTTGTCCTTGTGTGTGACTGCATGACCACCTCGTGCGCCTCCTCTTGTTTAGGCATTGGAGCCCCAGCACCTGGTCTTCCCCATGGATTGTATTCTCCATTCTCCTCAGCTGAATGAAGGTATGAAAGTATTTATCGCTTGACACGTTAAATTTGATGTTGGTCGGGGAGAAGTGAAAATTTTTGCCAGAAGCAAGGTTAATGTGAGGGAGGGACTAATATTAAAATTAAGCTTGAAATTTCAGTTTTAAAATTAAACAAGACAAAAATAAGAATATTATAGATGGAAGGGATCCATTAACTCAAAAGCTTTAATATTGTAACACCAGTTACAAACCTTTTTCTCTAGCCCATTGCAATCTCTTTCTTTCTCCAACTGTCAAATGCTTCCAAGGGATGTTATAAAGTGATTTTTCATCTGTTTCAGTTTTGCTCAGGTCCTTAGAGAAAAGTTGCGGTCTGTGTTCAGATCTTTCCTCTACATGCCTCAAGTGCTCTGATCTCCGCTCCTTTCTTGAATCGATATTTGAAGCAAACAATTTGACCAGCTATTCACAAGGGCCATATTTAATCTCAGAATTATAACTATATGGTCAATATTTTACATAAGCCTGTGTCTTAATATATTTTCAACTAAATCTATCAGACAGGTTTTTACCTGTTAAAAAAACAAGAGGTAATATTTTGGGGCCACATTTGTTTATATACTAACACTGTAAGATATTCATAATATTATTTTAAGACAACTCAATTCTATTGCTGGAACAAAATTGCTTTAGAAATCTTTCTTACGGATCTTCTCTTTGCTTATCTGCCCTTGTCTTGCCCTCCCCCTTGAGTAATGCACCAATTCCAATCTCTGAGTCATCCTCATCTCTACTTCGGCCATGTTTATCACGACTTCCTGTCTCTACACTGTCTTCATTGCCATCGCTTTCTAATTTCTCTATCTGTATTTTGTTGCTGGCCGCATCTGAAAAATGAAGGGTTTATTTATAGGTTTGAAAATCGTTTTATAATTTAATTAACTCAAGAGTATGTAAGTCATACATAATATTATTTTATACATCGATTTTTATTTACAAACTATATGATTAAGGACTACAACATTGCTATTTGAAGTTGGTGATGGTTTTGTATGCAGTAAATTAAAAATCATAAAACATCAAGGCACATAAGAAATACTCTTTGTTTACATGTTAGAATGGCTTCCAAACAACCTACCAAAGTTTATCTTCAGTGGACTGCTCTTTTCCCCTGTCACTCTGCCCAAAGAAGTCAGCAATGCAGTTAGCTGATCTTGGGTCAAAGTCACTGTCCCTGGCTTGATTTGAGTAGTGCCTACAGGAGGTCCCTGCTCTTCACCTTTGGACTTGAAACTATTGTTTCATGTGCAGAAAGTTAATGAAGATTAAATAATCACCAACATTACGGTTACATTCATTCTAAGCCTAACATAGATGTTCTAAAAATACAAATAGTACCACTGACTTCGGATAATCTTTTATGAGTAAAGTAATGCACCGTTCAAGGTACTCACCGTTCTCTATTCTTTCTAATGAAGTCCTTGTTGTTTTTGTTGAATTTCTTCTTCTCCTCTTCTTTTTCTACTTCCATTTGTAGCAGGATTTCATCTTCATCAGGCTGCCTTATTGGGTGACGCAGTTTCCTTGTTTTATAACCAAACTGGGAAGTGGAAAACAAATCATGGTCACTTGTTTACTTCAAACAGATAATATTAAAAAATGTCTAGTACATTTAAAACAGTCTCTTAAAAGTTAAAAAATTTGAAAGTTCACCAACCTTTTTAGGTTCATGCCTTGATTTATCTGAGGAGAAAAATATCAGAATGGTAAAGAAAATTTCAAGCATATTAACATATGTAAATATTTACAGGCTTTTAAATATTTCTGACAGGTTTAATCACCCTTTGATACCATTCATTTTTCATCTAAATGCAGTGTTTTAAAACATTAATGTATCCAGTTTGACAGCATTCTCTACCTACAGCCTTGATAATAAGGGTAACAAATAACCAGATACTGGAAGTTGGAAGTAAAAAAAAAAAGAGTTACCTTTACTCTGCCAGAAAATTCCATGACCATCAAGATTTTTGTTTATTGCTAACTGGACTGCACCTGAGCTACTGCAAAGATATGATTATAATCTATTTCAATATTTGTTGTTGTTGTTTTTTTGTTGTTGAAAAGGTAAAAAATCGATGCCCAAATTAAAGGGAATAGTGGAAAGAGTATAGTTTTTAATGTACAGGTTGAGCTAGTCAATATATATAGTGTAATTTTTTTTACATTATTTTTAATAAATTTTTACATAGTGATTGTATGTCACACAATGGACTCATTTGCACTGACTAAATTTGGAAATGGCAAATCAAAAGTGCATGTTGTAAAATTTTATTTAAAAACAAATTTTAACCTTAATTTTGTAAAATGTGCAATTTTCAGTTGTGAAAACTCAATTGTTAGTAAGGGTTATCTGTTATGTCTTCTTACATAATTAACAAAAAAAAATTGTTGTGATGGTTAAAGCATGAAACTCTCAACATGAAAATGCAATCTTAAACTACTCTCAATATCAATAGACCTAAAGCAAGTATTTAAAACATCAGAAAGCATTTACTTTGTGCCTTGCTATTTATCATATCAATGTTCGGGGAGATAAATTCCACCAAGTTACTAAAATTATGGCGTTATTTATGTTTTGAAGAGCTATCCTTCCACCATATAGGCCTAATTTTTTTTTTTTTTTTTAAATATTTTGAGGTTCCACGATCAATTTATGGATCATTCAGGATCCTGGTTTGAATTCAGAGTTAGCCTTCTCTTAGATGAGTTGCTGTCCAAGGCTCACAGGTCCCTTCTCCTCGAGGGGCTGGGGATATTTTTGCTTCAGTGGGTATTGAGTTCCAGGCCACCAGCTATTTGGATTGGGTCAGTTTAAACCTCTCGGCCACCCAGCACCCACTTTGTTCCTGGTTCAACTTCAACCCGCTAAAAATCTAAGATAAATAAAGCCATCATGCATTAGTGGGAAGTATACCCCTCCCCTCCACCCCCATTTTTTCCTATTGTCCTTGTAAAATGGATATTCTTCTTCCCTTTTCAACCCTTTTCACAAAATCCCGCTCTTGTCGCAAGCAAATATTTTAAAAATTAATTTTTAAAATTGTATTTATTTTTAATCTTTCCGATAGTCACCACAGCGTATAACTATTCAAAGTGGTGAGCCGAGGACTAAGGTTTAGGAGTGTTACAGCCAAGTTAACAGGTCACTGATAGTATTATAATACTAAAATCTAGATTCCGTCTATTCATAGAGGGATACAAATAAGGCTAATGTGAAGAGATAGCACTGTGGTTCCGATAGGGTCAAAACCCTAGTTCCAAAAGGGTCAAAACCCAGGTTAGGAATAAGTTTAGGGTTCAGATAAGGTTTAGCGGTTTAGGGATACATTGAGGGTCAGGGCAACCAAAGTAAAAAAACGCGGAGCTATTTCTTCACAAAATAAATTTGCTACAGCCTACGGTCAACATAAAATTAATTTACTGGCTGAAATTATGTCAGGAGGAAGACAGGTTGTTGACACTTTTTTGCCATGTATGTATGTATAATATATGAATATGTCATGTAAAAAATTGTCTTCTGATCTGCAGCAGACTTCTCATTCAAACTCTCGCAATCAATAATCAATGCCAATGGAATTGAATTTTTTGTGCAAATAAGAAGGCTACCTACCCCAAATATTTACTCATCTTTGTATGTTAATTGAATATTGACTCGATTATATAACCATTCTTCCTTTATAGCTGCTTTAACTTCGATAAGCTAGCGTTAATTTGCAGTTTTCTCAAGTCTCAACATGGTATTTATTATTTGTTTGGCAAGCCAACCAGAACTTCCTGTTTGAAATAAAATATATTGAGTACTAAATACACCACATAAACTGATGACGTCATATTTACACCATATTTGCGGTTCGAAGTGGCTATAGGTACCCGAGTACCCATCATCGCCAATGACTATTCGCACCCGAAAGTCTTAGTAATCGAAAAAAAAACATGATCCGAAACAGAGGCTTAATAATCGACTAGTCTGACGCGCTTTCCTTTATAAAAATGGAGGTTGGCAGCATTTTTGACACCTCTGCGACTTTTGAAGACGAATTGAATTATTTTTGTAAAGAACACAATGTGTGTTTCATTAAAAGATCGTCAGAGAAGATGAAAGATCCCAATTTGGAACACATTAAATATGAATATAGGCCTATAATTCACTGTTGCAAACAAGGAGTTAAACACAAGTCAAAGTCTTCAAAAACAACAGGCGTCAACAGGCCAAAGAAAATCACAAGCGTAAGTAATAAAGTAATAATAATAGGTTAACTTTAAATTTAGTTGGTCTTGTCATGTAATAATTCTTTCTCCAAGCCAATGATTATTACCACGGTAAATGTAGTGGACGAATGCCACTATTTTATCGATGGCCACGACTAATGTATCCCTAAATCGATCCCTATGCCTAACCCTAACCTGAACCCTAAATTAGATACTTCGATGAAACAAGGGAGACTACTATTTTTTGTATCGGAAATGGGCGTCGGCGGCGAAAAATCCGAGTTTTTAATTTTCCGATGTGTGTGTCTATTATTAAATTAGTTCTTTCCACATATATTTGAGTTCCGTTTCCGGCCTTATAATTTGGAGGACATCTTGGCCTACATTTCTAGCCATCTATTTTGCTTTTTTCAATCGACCTTTATTTTGAAAATCTTTGGTATATATAAGGCATCTTCGCATACAAAATTTTTTGTGAAATAATAAGATAAGGTCCTTTTTGATTAAATCTGTATGAGCATTAGATATTGATCTATATCTGTGCCAAGTTTCATTGATGTAGGTCGTGTCTCACGTTTGTTACACTTGTCACAGTGACCCATACCACCATAAGGTGGCTCAGCCTAATTTCGACATGGCGTGGGCCACGCCCCCTTTTTAATGGCGGAAGTTGCCGATACTTAGGAAATATTTAATTATTACCACTATATACATCAAAATATTTTATATTTTGTGTTTCAGAATGCATTTTGAAGACATTTAAACTGGAATGTTTTAATTTGAGCTTTAAAAACCCTGTAGAGTCCATATTATAAATGATCAGAATTTTCCCTGTGCAACACGTTGTCATTGGCAACCATTCACAGCCACTTGCATAACGGCTATATCGTAGTACTATCTCAGAGTTTCATTCATAAGAGTTTGCCGTGTGCAAAAGCTATTAAACCATTGGTCAGGGAAAGCTTTTATTAATTATTCATGTGCCAAAGTTGAAAGTTTAAAATAAGTCGACCCTAAACAGTATTTTAGCGATAGGGAATGCGTTGCCTTATATAAACTATATAGTCATTGCGCATGACGCGATCAGTGGAATGAGGTCACAGAATGTGGAGATGCAGTCCATGTTAAAAAATGACAAACCAAGTCGTACTTTAAAAATTCATAACTTTAAAACTACAACAGTTAAAAATATGATTTTGGTGTTATAATTCTGTTTAAAATTAGCTCTATTTAACTGTGCCATTGGTTTATTTTTAAAAAATGTTTACATTTTTTACCAAAGTATCTACCTAAATCGACCCCTCAACCTAACATAAACCCTAATTCACTGCAACTATAATAAAGAAGCAAATGACGCCGTGGCATTCGTGCTCTACATTAGCCCTTTCCACTTTTGGCTATTCGTTGAGAATTTTTTTTATATTTTTCAGTTCTTTCAAATTGGGATGCCAGGCAAAGCCAAAGATAAAGCTTGTTGATGTTGCCAAGAGAAATCCATCTCAGCTAGAAATTACCAAATCAATGCATGAACATACTGGCCATGAAGTATCAAAAGAAGTAAGTGCATGTGCTTTGAAAAATATTTACATAATAATAATAAATAGCATATTCTTGTGGCAGGTTGTTGTCACCTACAGGTACTCTAGTACTATAGATAGGCACTTAAAAACTAGTCGGCGCACCGATCTGCGCATGTCCAAAAATGTCGATAAAACTTGTTCTACAATATGGCGTACAGCTACACGGTATCTTTGGAAAATTGCACACTACGTCACCTTTGTTTATTAAATAATTGAGTTCCTCATCAGTGACGTGGAGCGCATATTTTTTCAAAACATTTGACACCATTTTGCCCGCAGGTTGGACTTTGTACAGGCAACTTATTTACTATTATATACGGGTATGTACTTAAATAGCTTATTACTTTTTAATGTAAAATCGCAACGCTTTGAACTTTACTGCGCTACTCCTTCATATATTCACGAAATGGAATAACTTTATTTCGTTAATAATAGTGATCGCTGAAAAAAAGTTAGAGACCCCCGCAGTTTTAGAAAATCGAGTTTTTCACCAGTTATCCCCCCTCAAATAAAAAAAATTGGGTTGTCGGAAATGGCTCTCGTCATTAATATTTTAATATGAAGATATGAAAAAGATGACTATTAATGTTCATCTTCAAAAATTCGTGGAACACTTATCAGTTAATTGATGGGAAACAGTTTTACTATATTTTAAGAAATTATTATATACCAGTAAATCAAAGATTTTTAAAATTAATTTTAGTTTGTGTAGTCTGTTGAATTTCGGACCAGTTTTGTCCCTTGATTTACATAAACTATTATACAATAATGTAAGTAAATATCGATTTTAAGTTTAGAAATTTTATGAGAGAAGGCCTAAACATTTTATCCGATCTTCTTTATTGAATGAATAATAGTTAAATAATCTTAATAATAAATGCTATTCTCTAATTAGTGACATTACTCCTATAAGAGAATATAATATGATATTATAGTGTATATTTTAATAGTAATAATTTTAATAATAATTAATACTAATACCCATGTATTATTACTAATAAACTAAAATACTATTCAATTCCATTAATACAACTGCATTTACTCATACAGTTACAGGCCTAATTTAAGTTAGTATTTTAAAAACATTAATAAAGCATTTAATTATAAATTAAAGACATCAAATAAACAAATATCATTAAGTTAACCAAGTCTTAGTTAACTTAGTAATTATTCTTAAGGCTCAAAGACAGTTTACATAGGCAAATATATAATATTTCTAATAAAATAAAACTAAAAGAAATTAGTTTTACCAAACAAAAAAATTGAATAATATTAAAAAGAAGAAATTATGTAGATTCAGGATATGATTAGCTGTTATTTCTTGGTTTCATTCAGACATCGGAGAAAATAAATTTTAATTTTCTATAAAAAAAAATCCTTCCACTGACAAGTAAGCAGGTTTGGACAAAGACAAAGTATATGAAAGAGAGATCATGGATTTATCAACAAGACAAAGCAGTTTGAAGAGCAGTCTAAATATAAAAATGACAGGCATAACATCCCCATTACCTTAATTTAATCACATACCCCGGTACTGGTATGCCCATATTAGTCTTATTGGTGATGTAATTAGTTTTTGTTTATAATCTTATGCATTCAAATTCATTGTAACAAAAAGACTTCTACTTACCTTTCATAAATATAAGAATTGGTTTAAAATGTAATCACATTATTCATTAAAATACAATAAACATGTTATTTTTTTGTTTTTTCCTTTACAAATGTTAATTTTTCCTACTTTTCTGCTTATGTTTTTCTTAACATACTCTCAAATATATATATATTAAAAAAAAGTCTTCATGTTATATAAAAGTTTTGTTGTTTATTTTGTTGTATACTGCATTGAGAATGCCTCCTGAAAATTTGGTAGCATTATCTTTTAAAATAAAAAAGTTTGGGGCAAAATAAGGCAGAAATTTGGAAAGTGGGTCACAAGTTTTTTCGGTTAAATACAAAGATAAAGAAGGGGATTGTAAAAAATCACCAAAAAAATCATAACTCCACTTCTATAAAAGATAGAAAGATGAAATTGCTGTTGTTATAAAGGTTATAGCTAGATCATTAAAATGATGTATAATTCATGGCAATCAGACAATATTTAAATTTTGTGTCAAAGTACCTACTATAGAGTAAGAGATGGATGCATTTTAAAAGAATGTTTTGTACCATTCATTAACCCATTCAATCTAGGGCGCTCAGAAATTTTATCACTGAAAACTTTATGTTAAGGTTAGGGTTACCACCCTTACCATAGAAAGGTTTTGAAAAAAATTAAGACAAATCTATTTAACAGTATAATTAAATTTAATAAATTCTAAATAGTCCTAACAGAGTTTTATATCTTAATTTTGATTATTTTGACATATAATAAACTTAAAACATTTATCCCCAAGGTGACGGTTAGTTATTTTTATGTACACCACGGTGAGCCCAGCCCTAGGCTGGGGTACGCTGGGGTACCGCGCTATATAAGACCAATGTTCCCTCTAAGGTTTGTTGGTTTGTGTGCAAAATCATACAGTTATGTGCAAAGTTTTACAGCATCAATTCTTTTGTGTGCAAAATTTTACAGTCCAGAAACACAAACACACACTTAAGGGAAATTTGCTGTGCGGATAATCAAAACTGCTGGGCAGAGCCTGTGAGAGGGCTGCGCTGCAGCGCAGCTTAAAGGGAACATTTTATAAGACCACTAATAATAATAATGTTTGCAGGGCATATTTTTTTACATAATACTTATTATTGCAAAGTAACCTTTGTGTGTTTTTTTTCCAGATGTACCGCTTGTATCCGGAAAACCGCAAGGTGGAACTAAATGCGGCAACGCTTCTGTTGATGTCCTGCACCACGATTGAGACATCTGAGGCCCGGCAAGTGCTTGAACAACAGCATGATGTGGATTTGCTTCCCAGGGATATTTACAATATTATTATTATTAAGTCAAGAATAAATAAATCATCTTCTGATGCAACTGAAA